AGGGTACGTGGAGAACAATTCGAAGCCTTAAGATTGCAACAAGAAAGATTACAACAAATAAGATTGCAACAAGAAGGACAACCACAACAAATGGAACAAGACGAAGACCAAAACATCTGCACAGTTTGCTTTAGTCAGGTAGAGGCCATTAATAGTGCATCAATTGATTGTGTTCATAAATTTTGCTTTGAATGCATTACTAGATGGTATTCTCGTACTAGAACATGTCCAACTTGCAGACAACCAATTTCAAGTATTAGAGTAAGTAATTCATACATTCATATTTATACTTTATTAATAAAACATATATATTAATTTAATTTATTATTTAATTATAGAGAGATATTCAAAATGAGGGTTTAACAAATGATGCAATGAACATAGATTAATAAAATTAATAACACTTTAAACAGAATGAATGTCCAATAGCATTTCGATTACAATATTCCAATCCATAGGGAAAATATAGATTTTTAGGTTAATCGTCATCAATTAGTTGGCCACCAATTAGATGATTATTTTAACCTCGATCAATAATACTCTATCTATATGGAATAATAACGAAATCAATCAAGATTATATCAGAAAACAACATTAAAGGACAAACATTTCCATTCATTGCATTATCCTCAACTCTTCAAAAGGTTAAAGAAGTTCCAAAGGTTTCATATGCTAGTTCTCTTTTGGTAACTATTAAGTTTATATTTAAATTTGAATATAAAAAAACTAATATTTAGTTTTAATTCCTATATAGTTTAATAATAATGACTTCTCTTCATTTATAATCCTATACTAAATGTCTATATGTGTGCATTTTCATTCCCTAAGGTAACCATAATGTTAATATTTACATAACTATTATTTGAATATAAAATTAACCAATATTTTATTCGTTTTTAGTTTAAATCTTTCTCATACACATCAAAAAGCTCGGTATTTAAATCCTTCTCATACAAAACGTTTTTAGTTTGAATCTTTCTCTTTCATATCAAAAAGCTCAATATTTAATTCTTTCTCATATCAACATGTTGCCATGCTTGGGTATTTGATTAATCAAAGTAAATACAATGATTATATTAACATAATTATTAAAATATAAAAGAAACTAATATTTATTTCATATTTAGGTTAATTCTCTCTCTTTCTGTTTCATATATAATTAAATTATAATATTTCTCTCTCTTTCAGTCCCATATAGTTCAATTATAATATTTTCTCCTTCAGTATAATCACGTTCTTTATTTAATGCCAACATTGGGGTATTTGTATTTTTAAGGTAACTTTAATGTTATTATTAACATAATTATTCTTAATTTGAATATAAAAGAACTAATATTTATTTTTAATACTTATTTAGCTAATTTTAATTCTTTCTTGTACAGTTTCAACATTTTATTTATTTCAAATCAATAATCATCATACATTGGGTATATTTTATCCTTTTCAATTGTGTTTTTTTTCAAATCATTCATGAAACATTGGGGTTCTTTTTCAGTATGAACACATTTTAAAGTCACAATTCAAACATCGGGGTTCTGTTTATTCTATGTAAATATTACTATTTTATTTTTATTTTTAATTTGATTAATATTAATAATTAATAATCATCCATTTAACTTTTATTTATTAATTAATCACATTTAATGTCATTTTTCAGTAGTATAACCCAATTTTAATCTACCCTTTACCACATTTTTAATATTTCTGTATAATATAATAATCAAAAATAATTATCATAATAATTAAAAAAATTTACCTAAAAGTATTCAGTAGCCAATAAAACTCAAAAGTATGCTCAAAATAGAGGTCCATCATTGTTTGGGTTTGCCAATTTTCACTTAGCCAACAATAAACTATTGTTTAAGCCCTAAATCTCAAGTACATCATCCCATAGACTTCAATTGGCATTTCATAAATCATTATAGATGCATCAGTATTGGGTTCTTTAAATTTTACCACTTAAAGCAATTTTTGTTCAGGTATGGTTCCATTAAAAACTGAATATGAGATTTTTTTTTTACAACTCTTAATATTTTCAACATTAAAAAGGATTTTAGAAATCTATTGCAATTCAAAAATATAGTTTGGTATATTTAAAAATCAAAATCAAGTAAAAAGGGTTGTACAAGAGATGTAGTAGGTTAGCCCAATAAATATATCATTTGGTAATATTGAAGGCATTCCACCAACTAAAGTATATGACTACTTTTTCAAATTCCATCAATCAAATAAACAAAAGCAAATCATTCAAGTTTCAAAGCTTTATTATATATAACTCTGTGAATCAGGAAGAACAGATATATTATCAGACTTAGAGTCATAAACAGTTTTTATACTTTATTATAAAAAAATTCTAATTAAAACATACCTATGTTACAGAGTTACTTCTATATGTTCTGTAAATGAACATCAAAATAATAGATTCAAATTAAAAATTCAAAAAAAAAATAATAAAGATTAATTTAATTTTTTTTTTTCCATAATTAACATTTAACAAAATTTATCTGTAAATTTATTGGGTGTCGTAAATAAAAAAATAAAATTATAAATATATAAATATATAAATATATAAATATTATTTTTATTTATTATTAAATATAAAAAATTAAATTAAAAATTTTTATTTAAAGATATTATTTGTAATGTTTATTATATGTTCATTAAATAACTTTGAATAAATAATAATATCATCTACATAGGCTTTTATATATTCTTTGGAATTTTCTGATCTTAAAAGTGTTTTTTAGTTGCACAAAGATTCTTTTATCGGGTTTTAAAATCTTCAATACCAAAATATTTGATATCGTAATTGCATACTTTGCAATATTTATTCTTTCTTGAAGACTGTTCATAAATTAATTGGTTTGTTGGTGTGTCTTTGCTAATGTTTGGGAATATATATTCCCAAACATTGAAAAGCTAAATATTTGACATTCTTTATCTTTTAAAACTGCTTCACTGTTGGTATGCTTTATTTAATGGTGATACGTCTATGTGTATTGATTTAGTGATTGTATTTTATTTTTAATAAGTGTAACATTAGAAAATAAAAAAATAAAAAAAAAATAAAAAAATTAATTTTGAATTTTTATTTTTTTATTAAAATATCATTATTTTTTTAAATGCATCCACTTTTATAATAATAATAATTACTTTTAGAAAAGATTTCAAACAAAATGTAAAAAAAATTACCATATGGTTTTTAGTCAATAATAAAAAACAATAAAAATTTATTTTATTAAAAAATTTAAAATTAAAGATCTTTATTTTGATAATGAATTGAAAATTAACTAGGGATGGAGAATTTTTAATTCTATATAATAACAATAAATGATAAAATTGATGATGAAGATTGACCCGGATCTGTGACCAAATGACATTAAATTGTACTTAATAAAACGGATGAAAGTGTTAATTGTTTTTGTAGATGGTATTTAATTGATAATTATCATTTTTATTTTCATTATTATCATTTTCGTTATTATTAATATTATTGTTTATATTTATATTATTGTTATTATAATGTGTTGAAATAGAAAGAATTAAAATCTGATTAAGCTTTAAAATTAAATATTAGTTTCTTTTATATTCAAATACGTATAATAATAATTATTTGAATATGAACTTTATAAATACCTTTAAAGTAGAAATACCCTAATGAATGATGAATGACCTGAAAAACACAATTAAAAAAAGTAGACCCCAATGAATAATGGGTGACTAGGAAAAACCCCCTAATGCTTGATAAATGACGTTAAAAACCCAATTAAAAGAATAAACTAAACCCCAATGAATGATGAATGATTTGAAAAAACCACAGCGTTTGATGAATTAAAAAACCCACAATGTTTGACGAATTAAAAGAAACCCACAATGTATGATGAACGATTTGAAAAAACAACCCACAATGTTTGACGAATTAAGAACCACAGCGTTTGATGAATTAAAAACAACCCACAATGTATGATGGACGATTTGCAAAAACAACCCCAATGTATGATGAACGATTTGAAAAAACCACAGCGTTTGAATGACTTAATAAACTCACAATGTATGATGAAAGATTTGAAAACAACCCCAATGTTTAATGAATGACTCGAAAACCACATTTAAAAAGAATATGTTGAATCCCAATGAATGATGAGTGACTTGAAAACCCCAATTAAAAAGAATATACTGAACCTCAATGTTTTATGAATGACTTGAAACCCCCAATGTATTACTAATGACTTGAAAACCCCGATTAAAAAGAAAATACTGAACCTCAAATGTTTGATGAATGACTTGAAAACCCAGATTAAAAAGAAGATATTGAACCCCAAATGTTTGATGAGTGACCTGAAAAAAACAGTTGCCAGCGTTTGATGAATTACTTGAAAAAGACAATTATAAAGAAAATACTGAACCTCGATTTAATAGAATATATGGAACCCCCAATGTATGAATAATTACTCATAATAAATTACATATTGAAACTGAAAAAGAAAGAATTGAAACTAAATAAATATAAAAATTAGATATTTGTTTCTTTTATAATCAAATTTAATAATAATTATGTAAATATTAACATTATAGTTACCTTAAAATAATGAATATCCCAATGTAGACTTAAATAGAACGTGTGAAGCTTGAAAGAGAATGAATTAATTTAAATATGAATTAACTCTATCTTTGTATTTTGGCTTTTCATTGATCTTCATTTAGGGAAAATTTAATTTTCTTTTTTTTATCCCTTCTATCTCTGTCTGTATCCCTTTCTTTTCTCTTTTTTCTTTTTTCCTTTTCCAATTCTTTTTGTCTTTTTCTTTCCTTTTCTTTTCTTCTCTTTTCATCTTTTTCTTTTTTAAATTTTATGATTTGTTCACTTTGGCTGTAGTTTGTCAATAGAAGAGTTGGTCCATTATAATCTGATTGATTTCTTCTTTTTGATATTTCATCGAACTCTTTCCAAGCCCCATGGACCTTTTGTCTTACTCTTCTTTCAATATCTTGTTTTGTGTCTATAGCATTCCCTCTTTTTTATGTTGTTGATTATTTTGATGCTGATGCTGATGTTGATATTGGTGTTGATATTGAAATTGAAATTGTTGTTGTTGTTGTTGGGCTTGTTGTTGTTGTTGTTGTTGTTGTTCTAATTCCTCATCAAAATTAGAATGGGTTGTTGAGGTGTGTTGTGGGTGTTGTTGTTGTTGGGCTTGTTGTTGTTGTTGGGTTTGTTGTTGGGTTTGTTGTTGGGCTTGTTGTTGGGTTTATTGTTGGGTTTGTTGTTGGGTTTGTTGTTGGGTATGTTGATCCATTTGATCATTAAAATTATTATTGGTTGAAAATTTGCAGTAAAAATTACAAGAACTGCAAAAAAATAGAAAATTAAATCCATTAATGAAAACATTTTATTTTATTATGATTGTAATAATTTGTTTCAGTAATGAAATTTAAAAATTAAAAAAAAAAAAATTCAAATAAATACAAAAAAATTTTTTATAAAAAGAAAGAACTGTTTTGAAAATTCTAATTTTTTTTATAATATAAAAAAAAAATAAAAAAAATAATTATAAAGTAATAATTTAGTTTATATCTTTTTTTAATACTGATTATTGATCATTTTTTTTATTTGATTTCGATTTTTTATTTAATTTTCTTTTAAATGATATCCAAAACCTTATACAAACTATTTCATTTTAAAAATGATTTTTAAAAAAAAAAAAAAAATTAATTAATTAATTTTATTATTTTATTATTTATTTTTTAAGAAAAAAGTAAATAGTAAAAATAGAAAATAAAAAAAAAAAAAAAAATAAGAAAAGAATATGTTTTTTTTGTAATATCTTTATTTAATATATTTTATCAATTTTATGAATATGAGAATGTAGAGCATATATGATTGAGCTTGAAAAAGACGATGAGTACAGGACTTGTGGAAGAATAAAAAATAAACTAAAATGTAACCTTCACATGTTAATTGAGCAAGAGCTGGTAAATTAAAATCTTGAGTTTAACCAATGAATATGATTATGAGTATCTTTTTGAATTGCTTCTGATAATAATGAGTACAAATTGGGGTTGGTTGGATGAGATAATGGATCTAGATTATTGACATAACCATTCTCCTATTACTAATTGATCTTGAAACACCTAAACCTAAACATAATTTCTTTAAAGTTGAATTATTTAATTTATAAAGATCCACTTCATCACTACTACTATGTTATAACATTTGCTTGGATTAACTTCACGATTTTGAGTTTTAAAACCAATTGCTGCAATTGATTTAAATGTAGGAACTTTTTCGTCTCTTTCATCAATTTTACAGACTTTATAATAACCATCAAGTTCAATTGTAATCCAACTTTTCTCATCTTTTAATGTATCTTTGAGCAATGTTAATGTTGCTACTTGAGGAATCTGAAATTGTTGCCAACCAATCTTTATTTACAATATGATTTAAACTATCTTTGGGAAAATGCACTATCACCAACCAAATGAAATTTAAGATCTTTATAAGTTCTTAATACGTGACCAACACGACTTGAGGGAGTAATATCATTATCTAACTTGTTTAAAAACCTATAATATATGGATATTTGTATTCTTTAACAGACCCTCTTCTAGATTTTGATACGGGGCTTTTTTTAGGGGATGAAAAATGATGAATACGTTCTAAAAATGTTCCAACCATATAGCTTAAAAGACCATTTACAAGAGGTTTACACATAACTAGAGATTTATTATTATCTTGAATATATTTCTCTTTTGAATCTGAATATAAGATATATGTATATATTTTTTCATCAAGGGTTCAAACTTTAATTCCTTCTACCAAATCATAACTAATATCACTCATTTCACATGCAATTCTTTTAATTAATTCTTGATTTGAGTATTTCGATTGCCATATTATAATGATGGACTATTGATTTCTCGATATTGTTGGAATCTTGCATAAAGTATTCTTTTGTTTTTAATAACTTTTGAATAGTTTATATTATTCAATAAATAGTTATTATATATCATATAAAAATATCAACTATTGTGTATCATTAAAATTTATCAAGTATTATTTAGCATTATAAATATCAAGGATTTTGCATATGAATACATTACATAAAAGATGTAATGTAAATGAACTTTAAAGTATAAATAAATAATTAATAAACAATAAAAATAAAGATAATAAATTATATGATTTTTAAGTTTATGAGAAAATTGAATAAAACGAAAAATTCGAAAATTTTTTATTTTATTTTTTTATTTTTTTATTTTTTTATTTTTAAAATTAAATTATTTTTAATTATTAAAATTATTAATTATTATAATTGTTTGATTAAATGACTATTTAAGTTATAATTAATTAATTAAGTGAATTTTGATGATAATACATTACAAAGAAAATAATAATAATAAAATTTTTATCACCGGGAAGATAAATCTAATTATATGGATATGCTCTCGCCGGGAATCGAACCCGGGCCAACTGCTTGGAAGGCAGTTATCATACCATTAGACAACGGGAGCGAACTGATGGAAAATTTTTGTTTAACTACCCTCAGGGCCCCAATTTAGGTGAGATACTACTGTTTACTATGGGAGATATTTGCTTAAAGCATTGCCAAAAATTTTCGAATCACAATGCCCGTTCTGTCCAGACAAAGAATCATCAGAACATATTCTTCAAGTGTCCATCAGTCAATAAACGATAATAAATCAAATTTTAAAAGAAGCTCGTAAGATCCTGTAGTACGGGACGAACACCTATTTACCAAACTGGATAAACCATTCTTAGCAAATTTAATAGCAAAAATTTTCGAACAAATATGGTACAGAAGTAACAAGAAAAATCATGAATATTTCACCTACGAAATAACATATGAAAGAGTACTTAAGAGATTGAAGTTAATCTGTGCAGCAGCATGGGAAAGAGAAGTCAAAAACATTATAATATATATAAGGTATAAGAAACTTCAACACCAAGATCCATCTAGCCAGTGACATCACACAATGAAGATAGTCAACAGGCTAGAGAAATAAAGCAAGATATGGAATTCAGATATATTTAGAGTGAAAATACCGATACACCTGGAAAGCTACCGAACTTTATCGATGAATTACAAATAAAAATTAAATAATCAAAATTAAATTATTGAAAATTTTTAAAAAATAAATAAATTAATAAAAGTCGTGTTTACCTTTGGGGTAAGTCAAAAACTCTTGGTTAGCAATTAATACAAAAATCAGGGACCCATTTTATGTGGCCTTATACTTATTAAAAAACCGTTAACTGCTGTTTAGTGACTGCCATTTTCCCACCACTTAAGAAACAACCTCTAACTAGAACCAATTTCTCTCAGTACCTTTTAAATACCTGAAGCCATCAGTCTAAAACTTTAGATGTCTTTACTTTAATATATAATAAACTACAATTTCTTTGCACATAATATAATTGTTTATTTGTTGTTTATTTGTTATACTTTGTTTTACTTAAATACTTATTCACTTGTTAGCTATATTGATATTCATTACATAATTAGTAATGAAACCCGATGATGATCAACTTAATTTGTATTGAAAAAAAAAACTCTATTAATTTTTGACATTATTATTTATAATGTATTTTTTGTAAAAGTGTATTTTGTTATTTTTTTTACTTTTTATATTCCTTTTTAAAATTACCTAAATTAATTAGCATTACCGCCACAAATTGTTTTTTAAGTACTCCATTAGGTATGGAAATTGAAGGGATAAGTCATAAATACATCGCTAATGATTAAAAAAATTCGATATCAACAAAAAAGGTAAGAGTTGGAACTAATAGTATAAATTAAGAAATCTCCTTTTGCTAAGTTGGTCAAAGTGCAATTTATTATAAAATTTTGTTATAATCTATTAAATATTTGTACAAGAAATTATAAACCAAATTTTAAAAGATAAACAGTAACACCTGTTTTATTGGACGAACACCTATTTACCAAACTGGATAAACCACTCTAAGCAATTTTAATAGTAACAATTCCAATGATGGTACAGAAGAAACAAGAAAAACCATAAAGATTTAAACTATATTATATTATTTAAGAAACTGCAACACCTGAACCCCCAGCGACACTACGCAATGCAGATAGTCAACAATTTAGAGAAATTTAGCTAAATACAAATAACATAAAAATTAAATAACCAAAATTAAATAACCAAAAAAAATTTTGAATTATATTAATAAAATTAGTGCTAACCTTTCATATGAATAAAACAATAATAAATTTCAAAAAATAAAAAAAAAAACTTAATTAAATATCCATAACCAAATAAATAAAATTAAATAACCAAATGAACTAAACTAAATTAATTAAACAATACATAAATCATAACAAATTGAACTATAATTAAATTTATAAAATTCATAAATTAAAAATATATAAATTAAATTATAAAAATAAACAAACAAACAGAAACCATTAAACTAAATACTCATTCTTTATTTATTACTTTTTTATTTTATTTTATATTTTTGCGAAATGTATCTCATTAAAGCGGTATAAAGCTTTTTAAATCAATCTCTTGAATATTTGATATGTTTCTTTTTATATAATTGCTTGGTTTATTAATAAACAATAAAAAATCTAAAAATACTTTTATAATTAATAAATATTAATACATAAAATTTAAAAGATATTTACGGGTAAAAAAAATCAAAAAAAAAAAAATTTTAAAAAAAAAAAATTTACTGAAATAAAAAAAAAAGTTACATTTATTTAACAAAAAAACCAATGCCAAAGCATTAGATAAATAGCTATACTAATAAATACTTATACTTATTAATAAACACATTTTCCATTTTTATTAAACACATTCTTTTAAAGGCTTATAAAAAAAAAAAATTTTTTTTTTTTTTTTTTTTTTTTTTTTTTTTTTTTTTTTTTTTGGGGGTTATTTTTTTTTTTTTTTTTTTTTTTTTTTTTTTTTTTTTCCAATCGCGACAAAATTTTTTTTTTCTTTTTATTTTAAATTTTTTTTTATTTTATTTTTTTAAAATTTTTTTCAAACAATTTTTTACAACAAGTTTTATTTTTATTTTTATTTTTATTTAAAATTTAAATTAAGTTATTTTAACAATAAGAGAAAAAAAAAAAAAAGGTAGGTGATTAATTATTTTAATAAAAAAACATTAAAATATCAAAATATTTAAATCCCATTGTTTTTTTTTTTTCACAACAAAAAAAACTAAAAAACATTATAATAACAACATCAGAAAATAAAAAAACTTCAAATAAAATAACATTAAGTAACAATAATAAATATAACAATAAAGAGTTTTAATAAATGATTTAAATATTTATATGTTTTTTTTTAATGCATACCATGTGTGTTTTGTGTGTTGTGTATGTATGTGTTGTATTGCAATATAACAATCCTCTTTCTGTGTATGATATTTTATTTTATTTTTTTTAATTGTACATTCAAAATTTTAAATGGTATAATTATGTTGTTTTTTTATTGTTTTAAAAAAGAAAAGAAAAAGAAAATAATTATTATCATATTATCATCATCATCAAAAAAATAAAAAAACATCATCAAAATCAACATCAAAAATATAAAACAAATATATCTAATTCATATAAATAATTTAATAATAGTAATTTAATAAAAATAAATCACTTTAAATTTATAGTTTATATAATAAAAAAAAAATAAAAAAAAAAAAAAAAAAAAAAAAAAAAAAAAAAAAATTTTTGGCATTCATTTCCAAAAATAACCTTTAAGGTTTTTTTTTTTATTCACCTAACCAATATAATTTTAATAATCCTAAAAAAATAAAAAAAACCTTTCC